GGGGAGGGGAGGGGAGGAGAGGAGAGGAGAGAGCTCTGGGAAGAATCTGTGAGACCAGCACCAATAAAAAAGGAGTCTTAGATGTCCAGTTCCCCTAAGAGCCCTAAAAACAAAATGAAAGATACCTGCTGAAAAAGGAATGAAAGCGTCTTTCTTTACAAACTTCCCCTCAGAGTTGAGGAAATGCTCAGGGTAGAAGATGTCTGGTTTCTCCCACTGGGATTTGTCTCGCAGGACGGAGGCCAGTAAAGGGATAATGTAGGTTCCCTGCAAGTCAAGGTAGAGCAGTTATTGCACTGAGGATGGTGTTGCTGTCACCATCAGAGTGACAGCGAGTGTTGGTGCTCAAAACACGCACTTTAATAGGGGGACTCCTGCCATAGTAGCTGTGAGAACCCCAGTGTGAGCAAGTGTCCTTGGACACAAGAAGGACTTGAAAGGGAGAGGTGTTACACTGGGAATGGAGGGAAGAAAAGTAGTGCAGAAGTTGTCTCACCTTGGGAATGAAATAGCCTTTGAGGGTCACGTCTGCAGTAGTCTCATGAGGCAAGTTCAATGGCAGGATATTAGCAAACCTTTGAATTTCATGGACAACAGCATCTGTATACGGCATTTGAGTTCGATGCTCGATTCGTGGGGGATTTGACCCTATCACACTCTCTATCTCTTCTTGGACTTTCTCTGTGAAAGGAATAGGCATCATACATAGATAAATCACTTGAATGTCTCTTTCTCCTACTAGGAAGAGGGGGATGTGGAGAATTCACTTTTTGTTCAGCCTTGCTCAACATGAAGTCACATTTGAGGTAACTTGATGAGGAGGAAGCCGCTGATTGCCTAGTTTCCACTTACTCTGAATTTCAGGATATTTCATCATGAGCAGAAGGCCCCAGCACAAAGTGGTGGATGTGGTCTCCATGCCAGCTACAAACAGATTTCTCACAACCCCAGTTAAGTTTTCATTATGGAAATACCCATTGGCCTTTCCATTCTCCTGGATATATGAAACAATAATAATATCAACTGATTAAAGATTCAAGAAAACACTTTTTCATGGAGAACAGGGAAAAACATTCATATGCAGCTCTCAAGGAAGAGTTAAGCGTGTAAAGGATAGGAAGGTTTTGAGGGGATGCCTTGAGAAACATGTTCTAAGCTGAGTCTTGAGAGTTTGGACTGTCCATGCTGCCCACAAGAACACACACTCAAGTCAACAAGGGTCTTCACCTTGGATAATGTCAGTGATGACAAGAATGTTTTGGAAAAGAGTGAGCAGTCACTGGGGCCATCCATGTGATTCAATCATTTGCTTCAGAGCTTTTCTGCCCCTGGGTCATGTAGCAGAGCATCTTGCAGGATGAGTTTTGTTGGGAAGAAGAATAAATTTGCTCTCAGAGCTGCGTTTTGGCATCAACTCAGGAGGTACTGGGAATTTGGCCCATGGTGATATTGCCTTTACCTGCCACTCGCATCAAAAGAGAGCCTAGAAAGGTGGTTCCTGTTCCCCTGTAATCCAGAGGCCAACCCGTACTTTTGCTATAGCAGACTTGGGCTGAAACCCCATGAGTCCATACACATAGAGGTGAGGGCTGGGTACAAACACTGCCACATTTTTACAAGAACTGTAAAACTAGAGTTTTGTTGAAGCAGGTAAATGCAATCTTGTGTGAGCTGGCAACTGAAACCAAGAAATATGTACCAAAGAGTCCTGGGCCTAGAGCTGTCCCTGGGTGTGTCTCTGTGAAGGGGGATGTGAGTTTAAAAAAAGTCAGAAATGCTGGAGTCAGAAAGGGATTTTAAACTATGGGTAAAGACAGCTTCTTATGCTGAAATAGTGTTTTGTATTTTCCTGATAAATTACTGAGGACACATAGAAGATGCTTGTCTGTGATTAATTTATCTCTTAGCTGAAATGACTGCACAGTCTTTTAGCCTGACCACAGGTTATGGTAGGACTTTTGCTCATGCTAGATCTCTGCTGAAGAACATTTGTTTCTCTGTCAAGGCGTGAAAGGAAAGTGAGGAGATTTGAACAAGCTGCTGGAATTCAATTACCTCTTGTTGTCTCACGAGGAAAGTGTCAATGAAGCTTCTCTGGTCATTTCTGTCCAGGGCTTTGAGATGTTCTATGAAAGTAACCTTGATAAAAGCATTGATTTCTTTTACATTCTGAATAAAAATTTTGTGGTCCTTCAGGAGGAATCCAAGGATTGGGAACATGTTGTACATCTGCAAGATGCAGAGATGGTTAGGAAGAAAAAACAGTTGCTAAGTAAATGTACCACAGTTCAACAGTGTATATTAAGAAAAGCCCTTACAGAAAATGGTGTATAGCCTTATACTCATGGTGCAATATGTCCCTTTGTCCTCCTTCCCTGACCAACTGTGTAAAATGGTTAAAATTTATTCCCTCTTACACTGAGTATTAATCACACTAGTTGATGATGGCCTAGAAATCCCTTGTTTGTGCATCGTCCTTGACACTATTTCCTACCTCTCCACTCCTAGAGAATTCATCCCTCCCTCTCCATGCTGGTTGGAATTGGGAGTCTCAAGCTTAAGAGGCAGTTACAGGCATTCCCACGCTGATTTTGACCTTGTTGTTTGTAATGGGAGATGGAGAATAATGACCAACTTCTATTGCTAGGGGACACAATACTTGTATCATTTCACATGTTGTTCAATTCTTCATGAAAGGAGGAACTCATAATTTCCCAGACAATGCTGCTAAGAGGAATCCATAAATAGCATCAGAGGTCAACTTTCTGCCATTTCTGGGTGCATTTGTCACGTGCAGATAAATGCGTTGCAATGATCAGCATTGGAGAGGTGTACTTCTGTATACTGCTGTATGACCATGCTTTTGAAGAGCAATATTCAAACAGTATGAATTACCGAAACTGATGGACTTCCAAAAATTCTGACATTTTCGTTCACCAATGACACGAGCCTTTTGAATGTGGGGTCTTCATAGTCATATCGCTTTCCAAGCAATATGGATACAATGACATTAGCAATAGCAGCATTCATCATCAGAGTCATCTCAAAGGGCTTCCCTAGGATAGGAAAAGGTGGTGCAAACAACAAAAGTCAATAGTTATCTAATTAATTAAAGTAGCACGCAGAGGCTCAGTGAAGTCTAGGACATGATAGGCACAGAGCTGGCAGGAGGAAAGGCTCCCCCATCTCATGGTTCTCACGTCCCTATTGGCATTTAGACAGACCAGAGACTGAATGCAAGTCTATTGTTCTCCCCTCCATTTTCTCCAAGATTGTTATGGCCCTGGGTCTCTGTGACCCTTCCCCAGACTGCTCTGTTTGGGCATACACGATCTTAAAGTTTTCTGGTATAAGGGAAACTCAGCATTGCCCTTTCCCCCATTGGTGCTGTCCTGGGCTGCTCCTTACCACCACTACTCTTTGAGAGTTAGACTGTGTCCCTGTAGGCCCTTTAGGTCCAATCTCTTAACTCAGTAGTCCTGCTGAGGCTCTCGCTTCTACAGCTTCTGGATCCCTCTGGTGCATTCCCTTTGCAGCTGGATGCAGCTCTTGCTTTCAGGGGTTCAAGGTGAGGACCTGAAGCCTGAACTAGAATGATAATGTAGAAATCTGTTTTGTCCCAAATCTGCTTGGTCACAAGAGCTACCTACTGAAGTCCTGCTGTTGGCAACTGAGCTTAGTGAGAAATAATCTTGGATGATGATGGCAAAATGTGTAACTGGATGTTCTGTCCTCTATTGGAAGGGGTTTCCCAGAGATGTGACTTTAGGGGAAAATGACTTTTTAGTATAGATATGCTAGTCCTTGCGATAGCCTTCTGCTCTCCCAATGCCACTAAATCTAAAGTGCTGCACATGGAGGAACAAATTACTCTTCTCAGGCGTGCTGTTTGATGTCTGACTCCACGTTTGGCTTCCAATGCCTCAACAAATGGTTTTCATTCTCATGTCAGGCAATTGCCAGGTAGACAGACAGAGACAGATACCTCGTATAAACTCCTCTGAGCATGGATGCTGGAGAAAGGTAGGTCTCTGAAAGAGTTCAGAGACTCTTCCTCCTTGACCCTTGGCATTTTTGTAGGAGGCTTGAGGAAAATCAGAGTATTATGAAGGTAAGATTCCCCTTACCTTTCTGTGCCTCAATGGTGTCTGCCAGGTATCCATACTCTTCTACAACACGATCCTCTATGGCCTTCTTGCCCATTCCAAAGTCTCTTAAGGTTGTAAGAGTAAATCTTCGCATCACTTTCCAGTTTTCTCCATCAGAAAATATAACTCCTGAAATGGAAAATGAAAATGCAGAAATAGAATTTCATCATGAGAGCAAAGATTCCTCATCTACCCTGAATGCTGGTAAACAAGAGTGCTGGCAGGAAACCTGTCAAGCTCTCAAGACATGTTATGTCCCTACATAGAATGAAATAAGACAGGGAAGATATGTCAGAAGAAAGCTCTGAGGGAAGCAGCAACCATTCTGCGTTCATTAGGTATCTGATGTGCCCTGAGACATGAGGGCTTTTGTGCAGCTTTGTTTAGAACAAAGAGTTGGATTTGTGCCTCTGGGACATCACCTGGCATGATGAGTGTGCTCATTAACCTTAGATGTCTCCCTTAGGTGAGGTGCATCCTCTCTCAAGAGCATTGTGTTCTTATGTAGACTATAGAGAGTAAATGAAACCTCAAATACAGGCATCTGTTTGGAAAGTCTCCCCACTTCATGGGGGGTAATCCCATCCCCCTACATACTAGAAAAGCTGCAGAGAATTCTCAGTGACATCTGCAGAGAAGTTTCAGTCAAGCTGGTGCTGCTAGTTACTCTCCTAGCACCTGTTATGCTGTCTTATTCTTGCTTAGAATCTTGTTTAAAAAACTGTCCCTAGTGAGGAAAGAAAACAGTTGCAGGTAGGTTGGCATTTAACAATACATTGGTTACTCAGAGCTGGTCACACGATACAAATGTGCCCACCATTGCTTTCTTGTCAGAAGACTACAATCTCTCATGTTCCTACTTCCATGTATCCCATCAGTATTTATGGGAATCAAAAGATCAGGTTCTGGGTCTAATACCTGTGGAGGGTGAAATCTGGACCAGAAGAACTCAGAGCAAGAATGAGCTCCCTCTGGGGAAGCAAATTAAAGGTTTGAGATATTGTTTATTTTCTCTTACAGAGAGATATATTCTCAAATGTAAATTGAACTGGAAAATTTAAAATAAGCATTCAATAATATCAATCTCACAGGGAGTATTTGGATATAGTGCTGCTGATGTAGTAAACACTTCTCAGTTTGTGTTGGGTTTACTCCATCCAGCTCTGGGGGCCCCAGTACAGGAGAGACATTGACCTGTTGGAGTAAGTCCATAGGAAGCCACGAAGCTGGTCAGAGGGCTGGAGCACCTCTGCTATGAGGACAGGCTGAGACAGTTGGGGTTGTTCAGCCTGGAGAAAAGGCATTAGATCTGGGGAGATCTAATTGCAGCCTTCCAGTACCTGAAGGGGCCTACAGGAAAGATGGTGAGGGACTGTTTTTCAGGGAGTGTAGTGACAGGACAAGGGGTAATGGGTTTAAGCTGAAGGAGGGTAAACTTAGATTAGATGTTAGAAAGAAATTCTTCCCTGTGAGGGTGGCGAGGCCCTGGCACAGGTTGCCCAGAGAAGCTGTGGATGCCCCTGGATCCCTGGAAGTGTTCAAGGCCAGGCTGGATGTGGCTTTGGACAACGTGGTCTAGTGGAGGGTGTCCCTGCCCATGGCAGGGGGGTTGGAACTAGATGGGCTTTGAGGTCCCTTCCAACCCAAACCATTCTGTGATTCTATGATTCTATTATGTGGCAAAGTTTCTGTAGCTGGTGGTAGCTGGACAGCTGCAGGGTTGGCTTTTGTGAGACGAGATCAGGAGGTGCCCCCATGTCAGCTCCTCAACATGTCACCTCTAAGGAAAGACTCAGCTGAAGATTCAGACCTCCAAATTACATGTTTATGTGGAAATTAAGAATATAATCTCTCCTTATCCCCGATGAATATCACCACACATTGTTAAATTTCCCCCTCATTTCCATTGCCTCATATGCTTAGCAAAAAGCAAAGTAAGACGTTCTGCATTCTTCTCTCCATGGAGAAAGTCTCATTGTTCTTTGCAGAAGGCAGATGTATGGGGAACAGAACAGCACACTCACCTTTTCCTTTTCCTGTTTCTTCAGCGATTGGTATTTTAGGTCTCCCTGCAAATGCATCTGCCTGGTTCACCAGAGCTTCCTTCACTGTGTCATATCCTGATAGCACCACTATTTTCCTTAGTCCCATCTGAATGCTGAAGACTGGACCGTACGTTTTGTATAGCTAGTGGGATGAAAGGAGACAATAAAAAGAGATGATCTTTAAGGTCCCTCCCAGCCCAAACCATTCCATATTTCTATGATTCTATGATTCTAAGATGATTTTCAGCAAGCTCAAAATGCTGGTTTTTCAGCAGGTTTGATATTGCCTTTCCTGCATGGCATTGGCTTTTCATTCACTGTCCAAAATGTGGATAATTTGTCATACAAATGTTGGAGCTTTTATGAAGAAAAATAATCACAATGGGGTCTGTAATCCTCTGTTAGGTATTTGAGTAAAGGACTTTTAGAGGGGCTAAAGGAAAGGCTGAAGAGCAGATAGGCTTGGCCCTGTGTTCCTTTGAAGAGACAAATGGAAAGTGAATTTCTCAGTAATTGTGGCAAAACCTGTTCAGTTCTTGGTATACAAGTCTGGGGAGGTACAAATTAGCTGGAATCATGAGTAACAACTCTTAAATAGTCTGGAGTTATGCCTTTAGAGACCAGGTGCAAGAGCTGCAGCCACAACCAGGCAGGAATAGACTCCATGGCTCACATGAGAATGAAATCCAAGAAAGCAGGTTAAGAATGGCTTCATTTTGAGTTATGAGGTAACTGTGTCCACTACACGGATTCTGTAGGTACTTGTGATTGAGAAGCTGAGAACTTGTAGGAGATATGTAGGCAATGTTCCCCAACCCAGAAGGAGACCACTTTTCAAGGTGGTAGTACATCAGGGCACAGGAAACCGTCTGAAACTCTTAGGTTTGCTGTTCATGGCTTTGAGGAATAGCGCAGTGAGAGGACCCCAAAAATCATACACTGACTGTCACACGCCATCTTACCAGAAGTCCTGGAGATTACTGCCACCAGATATGAAAGAATAAATAGTGTTTGTTTGTTTCCTGCTTTGCTTTGGGAAACCAGGGAAGTTCCTCCTTCATGGTGAGGATGAAGGGGGAGGATAAAGAAGCTGTTTCCTGCCAGTGCCCTGATGACTGAGTCCACCAAACAGCCTCCATAAAGTTCTGGTCTCCTCACTAAATGTTTCAGCAGCCCCTGGTGGAAGTTCCTGTAGGAACTGTAAGGTCCCTCTCTTCTAGTTACCCTTGTCTTGAGAACCTCAGCATTCCCTGTGTTGCACAGAAATAGGTCAATTCTCTTGATGCGACTGAAAGTCAATTCCCCTGCACTGGCACAACATCATGTTATAGGAGAGCAGGTATTGCAGATAATTAATTCTGTTGTATTTGCATCTACCTGTCCAGAGAAAAAATTGTACTTCTTTTGGGGGTCAATGACTGCCTTAGACAGAGATCTCTCAGAAAAAGAACAACAGAAGTTACCTCTAGCATTGTCAGGTAAGGTCTCTTCAGATCCATGATGTGCAGATTTCCAATGATGGGTAAAGGCCTGGGTCCTGGGGGGAAGTTTTCTCTTGCGTGGTTCTTCCAGACAGGTTGTCTTTTCAGAATCAGCAGGAGAATGAGTATAAAGAGTAACCCTACAGGAACGAGGTTGACCCAATCCATTATCTTTCAGCAAAGGCTTAGCTGAGAAGATGAAAATTCAGGAAAAGAGTGCAATCTCCTGTCAGAAGTTAAGAGTTTCAAGCATTAATGGCAATTCTACACATACAGAGATGCAAGCTTCACCTCTAAGAAATGGTAGAAATGCCTGTCTGGGGTTTTACCCCTGGAGAATCCCTACTAGGCACTTTTTCACCATCATGTGTGATCACTTTACCCTATGCTGGTTACTATTTAATTGGTGATGTCTAAACTAGTCCTATGCATTGGCAGAGATGTCTGTGGGCATAAGTCCAATTTAGAAACAGCAACTCAAACACTGCCTTGAACTTTGAGACTGGGAGGAGGTGGGAGAAGAAGGAAGAGGTTCCACTGGTTGCTCAGGCTTTCCCTTCTCCCTTTATGAATGTTGTTGCAGATGCCAGGTCTTGACAAGAGAAAAGCTCAGCTGACTGGGAATCTGAGACAGCTGTGAAGATTTCTCTTGAGTAACTGGAATGTGGATTTATGGTCTTGATGCACTGTGGGTCCTATAGTGGAAAGCTGCGTTGATCAGAAGTACTCAAGAGAGGAAGAACTCAGTGCTAACCTCCTCTGCGCTAGCTGAATAATTTGTTGTGGCAAACACATCTTTGCTCTAGCAGGAGTTCAAGCAGAGTGAAATGTAGGGTCAGACTGATGTGGCCAAATGGTGAGGTCTGTATTGATCTGATAGCCTCAACTTCCTTTAAAGTCAGTAGAGGGCAAGGGACACCTTCTCTTCCAAAACCAGAAGCTGAAATTGGTCAGACAATCCGTGCCTTACATGTTCCAGATTTTCAAATAATAGTTGAGGCTGAAATGGAACTCTGGAGGTCATCTGGTCCAATACTGCTGCTCAAGCAGGGCAACCTAGAGCCAGTTGTACAGTAGGGCCTGTATCTTCAGCTGTGGCAATTGCCTTTGACATTCAGCTGTAGCCATTTCAGGAAGAAAGGTGGAAAGAAGAGCTTGTATGATTATCTCTGAATGAGAAGCCAAAGCTGAGGGGAAAGTTGAGAAAAGATGGCCTCTGTTGGTTGAGGAAAGAGAGCTGAGGTACAGTCTGACTCTTGTATCTTAGAGTCTGAGTGAGTAAGCAGCAGAGAAGGAAGTGTTAAAAGATGCATCCATGGAGAAGAAATTATCCAGAGAAGGTGAGCTGCATTCCAAACAGAATGGTGTTTGGAAGAGCTTTCTAGAAGTGTAGAGAACTAAATTGCACATTACCTTGAGGCAAGAACGTGAATCCTGTGTCAGGTGAGATGCCCAGGCTGAGCCTTGTTTCCTTGACTCTTTAAAGTGTCAAGATCTCTGCAGAGAGTGACCAAAGGTGTAGGAGAGGAGTCAGACCCCCAGGGGATGGGGGTGCAGAGACCTAGAGTAAAAGAGCATAGGCACCTGGCCAGGAGCCTGGAAGAGGAGCTAGAGCAATCCTGCTCTTGTACCCGCTTGCCCTGAGTCTGCTGCTGCCCCCGGGGTCTCTGGAGGAAAGATCAGGACATTTCACCTACCTGAAAAGTGTCCTGGAAAAAGTCCAGGGCCTATGTCCAACTATGTGCCAGTTGGCCTGTTTCTGCTCCACCTCCCCAAAGAAGGTAAAAAGGCACCAAGAATGTCGTTCTTTCCACATATATCTGGGACTTAACTATTAACAAAGAATGAGTCAGATATTGACTCCTGAGATTGTCACAGACATGAGTGATAGACTGTGTTTCTTCCCTGCTTGGGAACATTTCCCCTTGGCCTTATTTTGAAGTTCAGATTCAAGCTCTTGCTTTGGACCAATATTTGTGGCTCCTTCAAGGTCTGACAGGCAATGTCTCTAGACACACATCTTGAACCAGATGAGTTGTTTCTACAGTGTTTGTTAAGTTTATGATAGTCAAATACTTCACTGTTCTATGATGTTTTACATGATGCATGAGGAAACTTGGCCAGGTTCTTTTAGGAACAGGAGAAAATTCTTGTGGTGCTTAGCCATTTCAGTGAGCAAGACTCAGTAGAGCAAGAGTCATTCTTTGCACTGTCCCAATTCTCCTCATCTAACACGAACTCAAGAAAAAAATACCCAAAACATATGCAGACATCTTGCTGGAAAATTGGGGGATCTGGTCACATTAGCTATGTCACCCATAATAAAGTAAGCATCTTTGCAGCTTTGAAGACAATGCTGGAGACAGTTTGATTCTAAAGTGGGAAAGTTGAGGGGTTTTTTTTAAGAGTTCAATGGATCTCATCGATATGCATACTATTCTGGAGTAAATTAGTTCTTAGTTCCAAGTACAGGATTTCCTCTGGTACTCCAACATCTTTGTACAGTAGTTCTCAGTTGGGACATCTGTCATTTTCTTGCAGTAGGTTGTACTAGTATTTGTGTGCATCTCCGCGTGTGTGTCTGTATTTGGAGGAATGTGTGAAGAACCAAGGTCTGCCTTGGAGGTCAGGGAGGAGAAAGTGTCGTTGTGTGGGTATGTGATCTGTGCAGTACCAGGCACTGATCCCTGGCCTGTTTGCTTTATGAGAAGATGCATAGGTGTAGGACACATATGTGGCAGTGGACTATTAATATATTTTGTGCTGAATGTACACATTTTTTGTTTCTGCATCAGAAATATATCTGAGAAAAGCTCTAGGGACGTGGTCTAGTGTAAACTTTATAAGGCCTTGGGTGGATGGAAAACCCAGTGAAGCGGAAGAGGTCTGAGATGGAAACCCCTAGGGGAGGGTGAAAGGTGAACTTCTGCAGGAGGCTTGTGAAGAAGAGGAAGAGCTCTCTTTTGGCAAGACCCTCACTGTACATACTGTGTTAACAGGTTGAACCCATTGAGAGAGGAAGAAGACTGTATGTCCCCAAGAAATATCAAACAAATACAATTGATCATCTGATCATTTAATTCATGCATTTAATCAGCAACAGATTTGAATACAAATGTTAAAAGAAATTTTGTAGGCAAATGCTCAGTAAATAGCTTTAAAAGAAATTTGCTTTTCAGTAACGAGATACAAAGATATTGCTCTGAAAGAGGTAGTACTGAAGTAAGACAGTCTTCAAAGTTATGATCATCCACTGGTGTTTTGGAAAAGGGCTGAATGTCAATAAGCTTGACAAAGCTTGACAAATAAGCTTGGTTATTTTAAATAAGAAATAATTGCTAATAAGAGGAAATAATAATAAGATAAAACTTTTTGGTTTTTAAGTCTAACGCCTTTGTTTCATTTCATTAAAATTTAATCTATCTGTATTTAGTCTCTTAACCCCCCCCACACACACACAAAAAGAGATACAATGCATTAGAAACATTAAATTTGTAGTTTTCAGTTAGAAAACCACCAGTCCCAGTGAATTCTGTCAGTTTGACCTTTACAGAGAAAGAGATCTGTTTTCTGATTGCGACTAGGTACAGACATCACGCAGACGATGCACTGGGGTGTGCCGACCCCGCTCCAGGAGGTACCAGCCCCCCCCCACCAGCCGGCACCCCCTGCGGTGCCCAGCACCAAGGTCCCAGCTGGGGCTGGACGTGCTGAAGGGACACACACACACACTCAGCCCCCCTGCCATGCCCCTCGTAGGAAGCCTACACCCGCGTGCTGATGGGCAACATCGACCTGTCCTGCCTTGTCTTCCCACCCAACATAGCAGGTGGGTGCTGAGCCCGGCGTCAGCAGCACGGCCCACGCTCCCCAGGCACAGGCAGGAGGAGGGCAGGGCCCCTCGCCAGCTCGCTGGCCCCCATCCCACCACATCATGGTCAGGACCCTGCACCAGCAAGGCCATGGTGGCTGGTGGTGGCAGGGACTGACTGCTGGCAGTGCTGCCCACAGGCCCCCCAGGGCTCTGCCCCATGGCTGCTCCAGCCCCCCTGACACCAGCGCTCCCTGCTCAGCATCCCATGGGCAGCCCGGGCTCAGCTGGGTGTGCAGGGACACCCACGGGTGCCAAGAGCAGTCGGTTGCTGCCGGTACTCACCTTCTTGTGTCTTCTTCAGCTCCTTCTCGCCAGCGTCTGAGGGCTTGCGGCGCAGTATGGTGCTGGGGCCCAGCGGCAAGGGGGCAGCTTTCAGGCAGCATCTGGCACGGCAAGTATCGAAACACTGGCACTGAGGCTGGGAAGCG